AGTAGGATATGTACTCAGGAATAACAAGAGAAACACAAATCAGTAATGCAAGATATGCCACTAATTGTTCCCCCTGTAAAATTCAGTGTCTGAAATGATAGTCATTATCTGAGTGCTAGAGTTCAGATTAGTGCTGTCATATGCGACAGGTTATTTTACATGTATAGCAGTAGAAAAAATATTTGTGCAGGCAACCTTAGCCATTTGTACTTGCTCCTGAGCACAGAAAGGTTATACTACAACATTCATGAGAAAAGTAAGCAGTAAAAACAAATCAATCCCACCTCAATCAAAACACTTACAAATTCTGAACTATACCAATATGATTTCATCACTTTTTATGAAAAGTTAAACTAGAAAAATGAAACACTTAAGGGGTGTATGTATGTATGCATGTACATACATGTATGTGGGTCTGTGTGCATTTACATACACGTATGCACATTTGTGTACTTATGTGCCTATACTCACATGTACATATCTTCAAACATCTGTGGAAAAGTTGATGAGCTCTTAATTTGGGCTTTATTTCAGTGAAATCTATGATTAAACAAAGGTGGCATTTTACAACTTTCACAATCTACAAGTAAAGACTTGCTTACAAGTAATTTATAATCAGACAGACTATGTGACTAGATAATCCCTGTCTTGAAATAGGGTGGATTATAAACATGCAACTCCATAGCGGGAACCTGGGGTCAGGGACATTCTTGCCACATTAAAAGCCTAAATCAAAGTCAGGCTGCACAGAGGCCCACAGAGATCTTTCTACCCTTAACGTCATGGGTCCTCACCAAAAGGATTTTAAAGGGGGCTGTAATGCTATAGAATACAATAGATCGGGAAAGCAAGGAAGAGGGAAACAACAGGAAACTTTTCTTTATCTGAAGGTTGATGTCTGAGGAAAAAGGGCTCACCCAGAGGGGAGCGAGGATGTGTGCAGACTTGGGCGTCCCTGACGTGAGGGGTGGTCAAAGGAAAGGATAAGGGCCAACAGGCACTAGGCACTGAGCACACAGATGTGGCATGCAGACACCTCTGAGCAAACGTGTGCCGAGAGCAAATGTGCACAGAGTACTTCCCTGCTCAGCACTATACCGAGACAGGACGCTTCAGTGCCTGTTAGGTGGGCACTAGTGTTCATACCTGCTGAGCACCTGCCATGTCACCAGCACTATCTTTAGCTCTCAGGCACTGAGGCTCTGGCAGTGACACATAGATGCCCACCCCTCCCCCGAATACTTCTGGAAATGGATGTGAACATTTCATGATAAAAACAGGTGAAGTGTCACTCACCTGGCACATAGAAAGCACAAAGTAAAAGCTATTGTCACTACTAAGATATAAAATAATGCTAAGTGTGATACAAAAAAAGTAACTTAGCAACCCAGAGAAAGGAGCATTAATTCCGTATGTCAAAGTCTCAGAGAGAATGCATTTGAGACTTTTAGAGAAGCTAAAGTCAACAGGCTTCAAATATGGAAATTACTAAAATGGAAGTAAACATAACTTAATATCTACAACTGCATGTTCCCCATGCCCCCCAACATATAACTCTTGCTCTGGTTCCTAGCTGAAGACATTTTCTCATCTCCTCACTGGGCAGGTCATCCGTTAATGCCAACAGCTTTTCAGGACTGCAGAACACAGTGACAGGAATTATTCCCTTTGTATAGTTTGGAAGCAGATGATTTATTTTCATCAATTTAATTCCTCATGTAAATGTACTGCAGTTTGGGACAATAATAAAAAAAGAATGATAGTTTGATTTTTCACTTGTAATTGTGTTGCTTTGAAAATGGCTGTACCATTCTACATATTCATGTTTGTCTGTCTTCTTCCCTCATGATTCAAAGTGAGGAAACCACAGCTGAGAATCAGGAGACCTCAGTTCTCCCTCTGGTTCTTCATGAACCTACTATGTGGCCTGAAATTTCTTGACCTCTTCTCTGTCCAAAAGTTGAGTGCAGTAATATCCATCCTTCCTAAGAACAATGAGAGATAAATGCAGAAACGCAACACCAAAAGCAACAGATCCCATGTGGGCCAAGCATGATGGGAAACACAGTTTGAGGGCTGGGAAGAGAAGGTAACTGTGTTGACAATGCCAGTATAGGCCACTACCAAAACATTTCCCTGGGATTCTGTCCATGCCATACGCATTCCCAACTTTCTGCACATTAGGAAATATATACTGGGGACAACCAGGTAAATGGTAGGGGGTGGCTGCCTCTGGGGTGGGACACGGAGCTTCTGGGAAGGAACACAAGGGAGCTTTCTCATGGGATGGAAATCTATACTGTATCTTGGTAAGTAAAACTCATCAAACGTTTCACTACAGACATGTACATTTCACTGCACATACATTTTACAAAAATGAAGTGAACTCTAATTAGTGAGATGCATGCTGATGTATTTAGAGGTCAAACATACTGAAACCAGCAACTTACTTTAAATAGCATTAAAAAATAAGATTATTAGATGACCAGGAAGCTGAATAGAGATGTGTTGAAGCAAAAATAGCAAAATGCTCGCTGTAGAGCCTAGATGGTAAGGATACCATGTTTACTATAAAACCCCTTTAAGTCTTCTATTTGTTTGAATACTTTCCTAATAAAAAGGCAGGGAGAGAGGGAGGCCTGATGCAAAGGCCTAAAGAACCAAAGGCCAGAGTAGGTGGAAAAGTACTTCCCAGTGGAGAGTGTCCCAAGAAGGACGACATGGGAAGGGCACTGTCCAACACAGGCCACCCCACTCACAGAATCTGGAAGTGGCTCGCCATGTTTCTTTATTTCATCCTCTCAAATGACACACAAGATGGGCCTACTCTCATCAGCCTCATTCTGTGTATGTGAAAATGGCTTTCCATCAATAATCCTATGCACTGAGCACCTGCCATGAGCCTGGCCCTGGAAATAAGACAGAAAACCTAGTTGTGGACTTTGAGAGACTTGTAGCCAACCAGAGAAAGGGCTCAGTAAAAAATCAGTCACAATGCAGTCTGCCATAAAGAAAGATAAACTGGAGGTATCCATGGGTAAATAGATATATCTTGAGACTATAATCATATGAGAAATAAATCACATGGTTTGTCTTAAATAAGAAATGTGTGTGTGTGTGTGTGTGTGTGTGTGTGTGTGTGTGTGCGTGGAGAGAGAGAGAACAAAATAGAAGACAAACAAATAGGAAAGCAGGGAGGTCATTTTCTTTTTTTTCTTTTAAAGAGAAAAAAATAAAAATAATAAAACAATTTCAAAACAGGTTGGTACGAGAGTTACAATAATTAATACATGGAGTGTTATTGTCTTTGTAGTTATTTGGAGTACCGGATATAGGCATTTTATCTTGCCCAAATAATATTAGCACAAACTTTCTTTTCAATGAACTAAGAGAAACTAGTTGTATAACTAGCTTATCTTGTATACAGATATATTTTTTTCCTTTTTCCCTGTCTTCCTTTCCCCTTTCCCCCACCACAGTTTGTCGCTCTTCTTTTGAACAGTTTTTTCTCAATTCACAATATCTGTTGCACATTTTGGGTCTTATTTATTCATTCAGTTTCCCACCCTAGTGAGACAATAAGATTTTTACACATGTGGGTCTGATTCATCTCACTTACAAGTATGGTCTCTAGTTACATTCATTTACCTATGAAAGTCTAGAGTTTATCCATCTTTGTGGCTGAGTAGTACTCCATTATATAAAAACAACACATCTTTTTTATCCATTCCTCAGCTGATAAAGCATCTGGGTTGTTCTGAAGATTTAGCTATTACATATTGTGCTGCTATAAACAGGGGTACACATATATTGCTGTGGTATGATGTTTTTAATTCTTCTGGGAAGATACCCAGAAGGGGAGGAGCTGATTGGAATGGGACCTCTAGTCCTAGTTTTTTAAGGAATCTCCACACTGATTTCCACAGTGGTTTCACCAGTGTACACTCCCACTAACAGCAGAGAAGGATTCCTTTTTCCCCACAACCCCTCCAGCATTTTTATTGGTTGATTTCTTGATGATAGACATTCTTTCTGGGATGAGATGACATTTCAGTGTTGTTTTAATTTGCATCTCTTGAATGACCAATAATGTTGAACATTTTTTCATGTATTTATTTGCCATCTGAATTTCTTCATCTGAGAAGTATGTATGCATCTCAGATGCCCATTTTTGGATTGGGTCTTTGAATTTGGGGGGTGTCTGATTTTTTTTCAATTCTTTATATGTTATAGATATAAATCCTTTGAGTGATAATTTAATTATCAAATGGATAAAGGAATAAGAGATGGAGGAAGCGGGAAGATAAATCAACTGACATCAAGGAGGCAAAAAGGGTAGCAGCAGAAGGTAGCAAACTGAGTTCCAAAGAGCATAAATGGTTTGTATCAGACTTCATAGGCCAAAACACAGATACCTAGGAAATGGAAACCAGTTCCCAATGACTCACGCAAGCAGTATAAGAGGAGGCGGCAAAGAGCAAGCTGACACCTGGGGCAGAGGCTTGACCACACAGGGCTGTGGGCATAGGGACAATGAGGACCCTGCCCAGGATTCCCAAAGGGAGAGACAGGTGAGAATTGTGCTTCAGAAACACAAACAGTTTGCAATGACTAATAACCATACAATGACCATTTGGGTTTGAGAGAAGAGGAAAATATTTTCCAGTTGCTAAGCTGTGAAGGCAAAGTAAATTACAGGAAATATAAAAAAAGTCACCATATAGGATATAATTTTCTGTCATTAAATATTAGCTTGCTTGTTCAAATATTAACCAAACTGTCGAACCAAATTAATTTAAATTCCAAGTACTACATGCAGGTATTTTGTGCTAGGGAGATATTTTCTATCTACTACATATATTTGGTACCAAAAATTAGGGAAAAGAGGTTGAAATCAATCGTTAATTTCCCAAAGACAAAGACCTACTTTAATAACCAGTTGGTTATTAAAAGTGTATCTTCTGCTAACAAACAATCTGAGCATTCCTCACAATACCTACCCTTGGTGGAGAGAATTTTTGAGGTGACTTCCAGTGTCTCCAGTGGTTCCATTCCAATATTTTCCAATGTAATGATGAGTTGCTGAGTTTCTCCATTGTAAAGCTGGACAGACACGTTAGTAGATATTTCATCACCAGAAGAAGGTTGCAGTGAATGTGCAGATCTAAAATAACAGCAATAACAATGATAAATTGCCTTGGGGAAATCTATGGATTTAAGAGAAAAACTTACTAGAACCTACTGATAGCATGAGAACCAGGACCAAAGAGAAATAAAAAGTGTATACAACAGACTCCACACCCACCTACAAGCCAAAAGCAACAAACACTGATGCAACACAGGGCTGTCCAGATGCACCCCATAGTACTCTGTCCTTGTGATTCTCAGGTGAGGCCTTGTGCAGGACAGCCCAGCAGCAGCCAGTTCTGCAGACAAGTACAACCCAGTGCTCAGACGCCTGAGACTCCTGCACTAATGCGCGGGGCCTGGTTCTGTGAGCCGTGCCCAGTCCCAGTGACCTCACAGGATCCACACTGCATGTTATCCTTGTTTCTCCTTACAAACTACAAGTAGACTTCTTGAAAGGAGGTCAAAAGCTGGCAAGGAAAACAGCATGCACCATAAGGGCATACAAAACACATACACAGGGACCAGGATGTGGCTCAGTGGCAAAGCACACATCTAGCATGTATGAGTTCCTGGGCTCCATCCCCAGCATTGCAAGCAAAAAAAAGAAAAGTATGCACAGGTCTAGAGAAGTCTGACCACAAAAGGTTTAATGGGGTGGCAGGTATTGAGTCAACATTTCTTCCCTGAACCCAAGAGCTACAGAGGACCCACTCCCACCTTCCCTGGACTTTGAAGGTTCCCAAGAGTCACTATAGCCAAATTTACATGAGCTAACACTGCACTGGAAATGGGTTGTGAAATCAACAAAGCCAGTGGTGGCAAACCTTTACCATACATCACTGGACTAGACCACACCATCCCTGCCTGAAGCCAGCGGCATCTGATGACCTGGTACTCGTGGTTCTGCCCTGCTTACAGCACACAGGCTCACAGTCAGGCCCAATGGGTTTCTCGTGGCACAGGAGAACTTCATCCCCACATTCTTTGGACCAAGAATGTTCCAGAGAATAAAGAACTCACACCTCTTCTGTCCCAGGAAAGACACCACACTTAAGGGCAGTGGGGTCAGCTGATCATGCACTTCTGGGGCCACTTCTGGGGACTTTGACGGGGCTGCAAACTTTGATGTGGCACTCTGGTGTCCCAAACAAGTGCTCAGGAAACAAGAGCATGATGGCTTTGGGTGAAAGTCTGTGAGTCAAGAAATGAACACTCTGATAGGAAAAGAACCAAACACATATCCTCACTGTAAATGATTCTTTCTATCCTTTAACACGCAGTCCTCTCCAAGCAAAAGCTATTTGTAATCAATGTGAATGTGTGGAGCAAGTATTAGGAAAATAAAACATAGCTGAGACTAATTACCCTGCATCTCAGACAACAGGGTGCCAAGGTCCTCTGATATGGGGTGGAAGGGAGAAGGAAAAAGGACCTAGAGCAGAAGAACAGTACACCCATAAGGTCTGGCCCCAACTCAGCAATCCTGAGTAGGGGATCTGGGGCACTGCAAAGGGGCTGAGTCCTAAGCAAGCTGGGGCACAAGGAGAAGCAGTAGCAGCTTCACTCAGCCCCAGGGTCCAACATCCTGGAAGGAGGGGCTGAAGCACTGACCCCAAACTACCTCGAACTGTGTTATGCAGATTACTCCTTCTGTATATCCTTCTCTCTGCATATTGCAGAGGTGATTTCAGAAGACCTACCTAGCCTACCTTACAGCACTCACTTCCCGCCATTCTCACAGCCACTCCTTTCTTCATGAATTAATAAAACCTAAGTTCAGCCCTGGGTTGAGGCCTTTGTTCTGGTTAGCCATCACCCTAGCTGGACTTAGGACCCGACTGGCTCCCCACAACTACAAATATGCCTTAGTGTCTTTATTCTCACCATGGATTGCGCCGGAAGTGATAGATTGGAATTAACTCACTAGAATTTGAGTAACTTTCTTTGGGGATTAAAATGTAAACTTCCCAGAGAGTGATAAGGACTGGAAAGGGCTCCCTATATACGCTGCCTCCTCCTAACACCCTTTCCACCCACTTCATCCCCTGTTCAGGCTTCAGAGAGCAACTCAGCCAAGGCTGAGAAGCTGTGTTCCCTCAGGCTTTGACTGGGCACAGCCCTGCCCTCCTTGCACATGCACTGGACCAAAAGCTTTTTCAAAGAAGGACAATTTTTTGTTATTTTTGTTTCTACACTACCAGCTCCGGGCCAAATACCTCACACATAAGTACTTGATTAACATGTACTAAAAAATTAACAAGCATCTCAATTGGGAGCCACCTTTGCAACACAGACAGAGTGACACCCTGCATTTTTAACGGCTGCCTATTTAGTGTTCTGTCCTGTGCAACATGTAGGAACATCAGCTCAGCCCAGCACAAATCTACACACCATGGATCCCAGGCCACCTGCCCTTGGCACTGCCAGTGCTTGAGGTGCCCAGCCTACCGGGCCACATCACAATCCCTCACCTGGCTTGGAAGGCCCTCTGCCCAGGGTACTCTGTTCCTCTGCAGGGAGGCTTCCTGGAAGGGTGGCCACATTATCCTGCTTCGTGGAGTCCTCTGCTTTCTGTCTGGACAGATCTGCCCTCCCTGGACACACTGATGACCCAGCCTTACCTCCTGTCATAGTATTCAATTCTACTTCATCTCAGTTTACATTTGTTTGCGGACTTGCTGGTCCCTTGTCTTCGCACACTTTTCCTTGCTTTCCTATCTGACCAAGTTTCATAAATCCTTTAACGCCCCACATAAGTATCATGTTCTCTGGGAAGCCTTCCTGAGACCCAGAAGGAAGATGCGAGCACCCCTCCACTGGCTTCCATGCTACAGGAGCAGTGGACACATCTGCTCCCAACGGTTTGACTCTCCCTCAGACTGTGAGCTAACCTCTGGGTCAGACTAGGGGAAGGGCATTTTTCACCAAGTGCCAGTCTCATCCCAAAAGGATGAACACACACCAAAGATGTCAATCAATCTGGGCAACTTTGATGAATCAGGCAAAGCAGGTTTATACTGGTTTACAATCAACACTCACTTAAATTATAGTCACTATTTAGGGCAGAAATCACCCTTGAAAAATATATACTCCTTATCTCCTCACACCTCTGAGGCACTCCACATTGTATACATTATTTAAAAATAAGAAATAAAAATGTTTTAACTCCTAATAGGTTCCATGAGAACACCTTCCCCAGCACCTGGTCCTCTCCAAGGACTGCACCGCAGGGCTGTTCAAGAACCCAGGCTCCCCTGCACTGTTGGGTTCCATGAGCCAGCGGGTGAGGCAGGCTCTCAGTAGGAGGTGACAGGTATCCAAAAGTATTCATGTTCTCAGCAAAATGCACCCACAGGACCATAAAAACTGTCTTTAGGAACAATTCTAAAAGCAGGAGGAAAATGAGGGAGATAGAGGGACTGCTAGTATACCTGCTTCATTCACTCACTAGTTGCAAAGATGACCTTTGAAATGGTCTCGCTAGCAGGGCAAAGGACACATTACCGTTTCCCAAAATACTCTTCCTTCTTATTAATAGCCCTCCCGTTGGTGCCTTTCACCTTGAGCCACCTAGCCCCTTCCTGGAGGGCTGACCGAGGGCCCCAAGTGTGCAGCTGCTATACCACAGTCACCTGCACGGCCAGCTCCCTCACAGTTCACCTTGAGTGTTAGTTCAGGTGCTTGGTGCTCTGCCCTAACCTGAAGCCCCAGGCTGTGTCTTTCCCAACATGGCCCCCTTGTGTGCCGCTCTACTACCAGGAGCAATGGGTATGGCAAGCAAACCCCGGGTGGGAGTCTGCAGACTCAGCAGGCGGAGCTGCCAGGCTCAAGGCAGTCCATGCTCAGAAAGGACAAGGCTGAGAGCATTCTCCAGAGGCTGCCGTGGGCTCAGCTCTCACCAGCTGTCTACACTATACTGAAGCCAAACCAAATCAATTCATCTAAACAACTGAACTGAGGTATAATTTACAAACCATCCAATTCTCCTGTTTTAAGTCTACAGTCATTTTTAGTAAATTTACGAAGTTGTATGAAAACCATCACTGATACCCAGCCTTTTTTTCTTTTCTTTTCTTTTTTTTTTTTTTTGGTACCAGGAATCGAACTTAGGACCTCACACTTGCCAGGAAGGTGCTACGCCACTGAGCTATATCCCTGGCCCATGATACCCAGTCTTAAAACATTTCCATCACCCCAAAGAAATGCCTTGTCGCATTTGGAACCAATTCAAACTCCCATTCCCTACGCAGTCCACATGCTGATCTGATTCCTGCCTCTATTGCCTTTTCTGGAAATTTCATAGAAAAGCAGTCATTTACTACATGGTCTTTTGCATCTGGCTTTTTTCACTTAGCATAATGTTTCTGACGTTCATCTACACTGGAGCATGTATCAGGAGTTCATTCATTTCTATTGTTGAGTAGAATTTTATTGTAAAAATGTGCCACATTTTGTTTGTCCATTCACAAGTTGATGGTTATTGAGTCCTTTTCCCTTTTTTGACTATAATGAATAAGGTTGCTATGAACACTGATGCACACATTTTCCTGTCATTGTACAAGCTATAACTAAAATATACAGTGAATATTTGAATTTTTAAAATTTTATTATAAAAAATATATTGCCATTAATTACTCTCAAAACAGTCTTCCTCACTTTGAACACACTTATCCCATCATTCTGGTCACTTGCTACAGCAGTTCCTGAAGTCCTGTCATGAGTGTCTTTACGAGGTGTGGTAAGAATGCCACTGCTGAGTACCACCTAACAGGAAGGTAGGCTTGTAAAAGCATTACAGTGTGTCCTTATCCACTTTATTCATTGGATCTGGCACCGTGCGACTTCTGGCTCTTCCTCAAAGTCAAAATGATGACAAAAGATAAACATTTTGAGTTGACTTGGGATATCAAGGCAGCCACGACAATTTCACCAAGGACACTCAGAAGGAGGACTTCCACAACTGCTTCAGAAAGTGGCAAGCACAATGGAACAAGTGTGTTCAGTGTAAAGTGCAGTATTCTGAAGGGGATCCGTGGCACTGTGTCTTTTACCATAACAAATTTTTAAAGCTTAAACATTCACATATTTTTAGATCATACCTAGTATGCTATCATTTGTCTTGGGTAGATACCTAGGTGTGGGATTGTTGGGTAAATTTATGTTAAACTTTTAAGAAACTGCCAGATTGTCAGAATCTACCCATGCCCATCAGCAGTGAAAAAAGGGTCCAGGTCCTCTAGCACCTCCCCACCCTGGCTGTGTCACCTGTCTTCTGATTGCAGCCACTCTAGTAGATGTGAACTGGGATCTTGGTGGCTCCAGCTCCAGAAAGACTAATTATGCTGAGCATCCTCCAGGTTGCTTATGAGCTACCCGTATCTCTTTTGTGGTGAAAGAGTTATTCAAATCCTTTGCCAATTTTTTAATAGATTGTTTGTCTTATTACTGAGTTTTTAAAGTTCTTTATGTGAATACAAGCTCTTTATCAGATAGATGATGTGCAAATATTTTCTTTCAGCCTGTGAGTTGTCTTTTCATTTGTTTAATGGTCTCTTTGGATGCACAAATGTTTTTAATTTTGATGAAGCCCAATTTATCAAAGTTTTATTTTATAGATCCTGCTTTCTTCTGTCGCATTAAAAAAAAAAAACTCTATGTCTAACCCAAGGTCATGAATATTCTCTCCTGTTTTCTTCTAAAAGTTTTTATCCTTGTAGCTCTTACAATCAAGTCTATGATTCCCCCGAGTTAATGTATTGTATTTCACTTTTTTCCCCCGAGTTGTATGATGCCCCCTCCCACCTCACTCCCTTTGTCAAGCAGCTGCTCTCCCACCCACTTAAGCCATGAATGTCTCTCTCCTGTCCCTCGTCACTGCTGATGCTGTCTCCTGGAGGAATCTCCCCTGCACCCCTGAGGCTGCACACAGCGTGTGTCACAGGACCTTGTAATGCTAAGCCATTTGTCAATCTGATAGAACTTCCCACGGGGACAGAGACCAAGACTGTCACGGCCACTGTCACAGCACTGGCACTTAGCACAGTGCCTAGCAAATGAACAGAGCCCACTAAAAATAGGCACTCCCCTAAAAACAGCTCAGAAAAGCACAAGACTCACTTCATAAAAATGGTCAAGGGGCCAGGGATATAGCTCAGCGGCACAAGTGCCTGCCTGGCAAGTGCAAGGTCCTGAGTTCAACTCCCAGCACCAAAAAAAAAAAATGATCAAAAGGATATTCATTATTATTCATAAGAGCAAAAATTGAGAGGATCTCAATTTCCAGTGGCAAGGAAATGAATGATTATACAATTCTGAACTGGTATCTCTAAGATGTATTTTTTTAATCAATAAAAATTGAATTTTTTAAACAATTTATAAAGACATGAGGAAAAGGTTCTGCTATGTAGTTACACAAAAAATAACCTATGACACTATATGTGATGTAGTGAGTTCAACTATTTGAATATGTATTTAAAAAAAAAAAAGAATGGATAAAATACTTTGTAGAAATACCACAAAACATTTATGGCAATTGCTTCTGGGCCTCCTGGGATTTATTTCCCATTCTTCTTTATGCTTTCCTATAATGCTAAAAAACAAAAAAGAACAATACCATTTTGTAAAAGTTAAAGAGTTTTTCTTAAATGCCCTAAAATTTTAACTGTTTTTTTCCAAAAACGTATGGTTCCAAAGGCTAATTTCACATTTTTTTGCTAATCTTGGTGAGAAAAACCTCAATTATGTTCCAATTCACTTGCAGTAAAGCCTAGGAACCACTGGTCATTTTAAAGAAATCCTTCAGCTGTGGACACAGCTCAGCAGCATAGCACCTGCCTGGCAAGCACAAGGTCCTGAGTTCAATTCCAAATACCAAAAAAAAAAAAATCTTTCAGCCATATTTTGGACAAAAGAAAATTTCAGATTAACTCAGACACTTTGTGCTATTTTTAAAAATATACCACTAAAAATGTTCAAAAGAGCCATTTCTGTTCACTAACAGATAAATGGATAAAGAAAATGTGATATTTATACAAAATGGAGTGTTACTCTGCCATAAAGGATAGATTTAAGTCATTTGTAGGAAAATGGATGCACCTTGAAATAAATGAGGCACACGAGCTTAAATATCATATAACCATATAAAAGAAACACAAAATATAAATAAGGAGCAAAGTAAAAGATAATAGGAAGCAGGGAGACAGATCCTTTACAAATGGGAAGGGGATCAAGTAGCTAAGATAACTGTACTACTAATTTCTATTAGTTCAGTGAAAGGAACCATTAGTGCTTATATTGTCTGATCAATTTTGCATGTCTGTACCTGGAGATCTGATCAACTACTTTGAAGATAACAATATGCAATATAATAACCATTGTTAATTTCCTATCAAAAAAAGAGATGAAGGAAAGGCGGAAAGTAGGGAGGGGAAGGAAATTTTTTTAAAAATAATTACATGTTACGTACATATAATAATGACATGGACTAATTCCCATTGAGGAACGTAGTCATCATACACTGAAAACATACTAATAAGAAAATTAAAACTGGGGGGAAAAAAACAGACATGCACTGTTAGGAAACACTACCTGGGCAAAGAAGTACTGATCTGCAGTCTGGGCAAAGCTGGAATGACTTCCACAGTGGAGCCACTGGTTTTTATTCCCAGAAGATTATCCAGCAAACAGTCACTGAAGACACCAAAGACCGTGGTACGGTAACCTGGAACACAGGGCAAAAAAATGCTTGCAGTGCTTTGCATTGCACACCACAGCCAAAGTAGTGAAAAGAGCATGGGCTTCCTTTCCAGAAAATGTGGTCCCAGACCTACTTTTGCCCCTCCTACTCCCTCCTCCATCCCAAAAACCTCAATGTCTTCCTGCAGAATGGAGCTGATAATGGCATCTGTGACCTAGTTCACAAGGCCGACAATGTCCATGCTGGGTGTATGAGAAGCCCCGTAAACGCTGTAAATTTATACGATTTAGTAATCAGTATCTCTTCCCTTCACTAATTTGCCTTTCAGACTTATCCATCTCTAAAATGAGAATGACAGTTAATATTCCTTCTCAGGACATAATGTAACTTAATGAGTAATTGAAAAATGCTTCAAAATCTTCTATTGAGAGATGAAAGTTCAAGAGCCAATTACTGTTATTATAGCTGCTACGTGATATGGCAAATCTGAGGTAGGTGTAGAAGTACTGTAATTTAAGATTAGCAAATCTTCTATGTTAAAAAGTCTATTGGTTAGATAAGTACTTTAAATTGTTTAAGCAAAGCTTTAAAATGGCTTTTGAAATTCCAAGAGATAATTATTATAAACAACATTCACTGTGTAACAAAATTAAACAATACCCAATGGCTAGATGCTTAGGGCGACAACTTTTCTGTATGCTTATTATACTGTTTGTTCCATCCTAAAGGGAGGAGAGAGCTACTCCCTCTCTTCCCCTCACTAGGCTTGAGGCTGTTCTCACAACAGCCACATTCCCTCCTTTCCACACGGAGTTTTCTGAAGGGCTTCTTTCTCTGGAAAACAGGTGCTTCCCAGAAAGCCCCCTCTGCCACTAAGCCCCTATACCTGTTTCCTGTGGAACTTGGTACAGTGTGGTTGCATTTACTGAGCAGTTATTATTTTATAAATCTTAATAAAAATTAGTGATTTTTTTTCCTTTTCTAACCAATTGCTTAAAATAACTGCACCTAACCCTGAGTGTGATAACAAGCACCTGGTGCTGCCAATAGGACACCTGCAGCCCTCAGCTCCACCCGTGAGGCACGGCAGTGCTGAACACGGCCAGCCAGCACCAAAGATGGGCAGCCTGTCACGTGCTTCTCAGTGACAGGCCAGGGACTGTCCTGCTGCTCGGGACCCACACTTCAGGTCCATCATTCCCTCTCTGACTGCTCCACTCCATTCCTGTCACATACAAACCCCCTTTGTCATTGCCACTGCCACCTGGACTGTCTCTGAGCCCTGGCAGCCTAGGAGGCCACTCTGAGGCCAAAGAGGCCACCCACCCACCCAGACTTGCCCTATTCCAGCACCACAATAACCCTGCCCCATCTTCCTTCCAGCCCCATCACTACCACTCCCTGGCCCCGACCACCTACTTGACCACGCACAGACCCCAGACATGTACACAATGGTCTCTCCTCCCACCAGTCTTCAGGTACATTGTTCTCTCTGCCTGGAAGCCCCCTGTTTTTATGGTACTGAAGACTGAACCCAGGGCCTTCACACTGCTCTATATCCCTTGACCCATTTGTTTGTTTTGTTTTGTTTTTCTTTCTTTGTTTCCTTTTTTTTTTTTTTTTTCCTGAAGCAGGGTCTTGCTAAGTTGCCCCAGCTGGGCTCAAACTTGCAATCTTCCTGCCTCAGCCTCCCAGCTGGGATTACAGGCATGTACCATCACACCAAGCTCTTGAAGTCCCTTTCTATATCCTGTTTCCCAATGCCCATCCTATCCACTGGGATAATTTCCAGTGGGCTTTCAAAACTCAGGATCTATGACAGGCCTTTGGCAATACCCCTCCTTCTAGTTTTCATGCTCCCTCTGCTAGACTCCATCTCCACTGTGCTCAATCAACACATTTGCCCTCTGACTATGCTGGTTCCAACAGGGAGCCCCTTTCTCAGCTAGCAAATACTAGCTATGTGTGAGGCTACACACTACACACTGCTAGTAAGACAAGCAAGGCCACCTAGACAAAGTCCTGCAAGGAGGCCACGGACACAGCTCAGTGGCACAAGCACCTGCCTGGCAAGTGCAAGGTCCTGCTTTCGATGCCTGGTACCAAAAAACAAGCCCTGCAAGGATCCAGCCACAGGTGACACGGAGGAGGAAGGCAGACAGAGCATTATGAGAACACTGCACAGGGGCCAGTTAGCATAAAGGAACTGAGGAAGGACCTGCGCGGAGCACTTGAGGCAGCACAAAGCACCAGGTAGGAGAGCATGGTGAAGGCTCGGGCAATAGAAGCGCTTCTGGGGCTGAAAGGAGCCTGCGCCACTCAGGTGAGGAAAGGAAGGGCAAGGAGGAATCCCCAGAGTGTGGGTCACACAGAGCCAAGGACACTGCAGACACGTGAAGGCGCAGCACTTCTGGTGAACAAACAGCAGGAGCAGACCATAGGAAGACAGGTCTGTTAGAAAAGGAGGCAGGAAGACCAGTCCAAGGGTCAACCCTTGTGACAACCCCTGTAGGAGAGCAATCTGCAAGACAGGAAGTGGCCGTGCAGGTGGAGAGAAGTGGCCATTCTCAGTAAGTGTTGAGGAGTCAATGCAGAGGTCATAGAGGCTGGCAGACAGGAGCTGAGGATGACTCTCGAGAACCCTGGGCAACTGCCTTGAGGCGATGCCTTCACTGACATAGTGCTGTCTGGGGGAGGAGCCACTCTGGGGCACAGAAGCGGTGCATCCCAGTTTCACATGTGGTATGGCAAGTGCCCACAGGACAGCTGAGGCCATGGCTGGATATGCAGGTCCAGAAAGGCAAGTTGGCCCTCAGAATCATCAGCACGCCAGGACTTGCAGGCAGGCAAGTCTGTGGGGTTGGTGGGGGTCACCTGAGGTGGGTCGTTGAGAAGGAGGATGAAGGGAGGGAAAGGAGAGGAGAAGAAGGAAGAGAACCAGGTGGGAGGAGGGAGAGGTGAGGGAAAGCACAGGGAAGGAAAGGAAGGAAGGGAGAGGCGCACAAGAAGAAGGGCCTGCAGAAGAATAGTGCCGAGAAAGGAAGTGCCAGAGAGGCAGCAGACAGAGCACCCAGAAGAGCAGAACACCAGAAAAGGGTGGGTACCTCAGTGGTAGAATGCTTGCCTAGGACACACCACCAAAAAGAAGGAAAAAGAAATTCCAGGGGTGTGTGTCCCCCAAAAGGAAAAGAGAGAGCTCACCATGGGAGAAAGGCGGCTGCTGGGCAGTGAAGTTAGAAATAAAGCAAAAAGTAGCCCCTGGATTTAGCCAGGAAAACACTATAAAGGACCCCAGAGACAGGAGTTTTGGTGAGGTGATAGGGCTAGATCCAGGATGCAGAATGCTCAGATCCAGTGTGGAGGTGCAGTTTGTGTGAACACACAACTCACTGACAAAGTTGGCAAACAGTCTGTCACAGTAGAAGGAAATTATGGCATTAGAAAGGGCCTAAACGCACTGAGGAAAGCTGAGCAGTTCTGAGGACATCCTGGAGGAAGATTGGCAGAGCAGGGAGAGGGGACGTAAGGGGTCAGAGCACAGCACACACTTCCTACCACAGCAGGAGTATGGCAGCTGTGTCCCCTTCTATATATCACACATTCAGAACCAGTTCTTTTCCAGGTCATATCCCAAAGAAATGCAGTCTTTTTCATTATCTTGGGTTTTCTTTCTTTTTTTCATTTTTTGTGGTGCTGGGGATGGAACCTAGGACCTCACACATGCTAGGCAAGTACCCTACCACTGCGCCACACCTCCTGCCCAATCTTTTCATTATCTTTTAATTGGTTAGGACTAAATGGAAGGACAAACTCAGCTCCGGGCCTTAATGAGGAAATACTAGAGTTCAGCAGACCTGTACGAGCACAAATCAAAAAGGAATCCTCCTTACCGTTCACAGTGATGGTTCCAGTGGTCTGTGGGACCCCAACAAGTGTCACTGGATACAGACCAGATTCTGCTGGTAGTGAAAGAGCTGCAGGGAGAGCCTCAAACTCCACTCCACTGGTGAGGAGCCCCTAGAGCAAACAAAGGGAAATGCAAATAGGCTCAGTCCTAGCCTACCATGAGTGGCCAGTTCCAAATGAGCCTGGAGACATTCGCCACAGGCAAGCCCAGAACTGTGGGAACAGAAAGACTAAAAGCTTTTACAAAAAAGAACACAAAGGACCCTAGAGATGAAAGAAAATAAAGTATTTGACACTATACAGTCTGGACAGGATAGCACTGTAGGCATTCAGCTGACAGACAATTTCACCTGATGTTTGCTGTGGGACATTTGTTTTGTGCTGTGTTGTTTTACCAAACAGACATGTAAACTCAAAGAAAAAATATTTTATTTATTAATATAAAAGAAAAACAATATAAAACATGAAAATATATGAACAGCTTATATCCCTCCGGTGCATCTATGAATCATCAGTTTATTTCAATATGTATCAGGCACTGAGCTTGCCAGGGAACAAGACAGATTTCCTGTCCATGGTAGGCAATGAGAAGGAGACGTCAGCTCTTGATATTTCCCAGCACTGGAGTAGTGGTCCTACCCAGTGAACAGGACAAGAAAAAATGGAATAGACATACAATCAAGTATTTACTAAACAAATAAATAAAGCTATGAACATAGAAAATCCTATGGAATCCACATTGAAACTTGAATTAACAAGTACATTTAACAAACTGACAAAGTCAGGGGAAAAAAGGAAAGAGGTATATATAGTCTAGCAATAAGCAATTGGAAAACAAAATGTTTTTTTAAAATATCATTAACAAGAAGAGATCAAAATCATCAAAAACCTTAGAACAGATCCAAAGAATGTTATACAAGATTTTACAAAATAATGCTGAGATAAATTCTGAAAGATCTCAACAGGGAAGAAAACTTGGATTCTCTTAAGTTGGTTTGTTTTCTGCAGTACAATGGTCCAAGCAACCTGAACCTATTTTGGGTGCATTACAGAACTAAGCCCACAAGGTATGATCCTAAGAGGTGTGACTGCTGCGCTCAAGTACCATCCAACAGAAAGACAGGTTAGTAAAAACATTAGAGTATGTCCTTATTTGCTGAATCAGGCTCTGTCCAACTATGGCTCTTCTCCAAATTCAAAACAACCATGAAAGAAAAACATTTTGAATCAATTCAGGACATGGAGGTAGCCATGACTGAGGATATTCATGAAACAGGACTCCCAGAACTGCTTCAAAAGTGGCAGGAATGATGGGGTAAAAGTCAGGGGAGTATTGCAAAGCGAACTAATAGCAATGTGTCTTTTACTGTCACAGATTTTTTAAAATTTCAACATTCACTGTATTTTTTGATCACACTGCATATAAATGAATGTACAAATGTTGTGAACTATGTTCTCACACTGGAACAAAGGACATAAAAATGGCAAGAAGAAAGGCAAGACAGAACCCTAGGAGATGGATGACAAGTGGCAGCATCAGTGTGAATGCAGGATGTAGAAGTATGTCTGTCTAAAAGAACAACTGAAGAAATTAATGACCACCAAACAAGGCTCTCCAAAATGTCCTGAAGGTAAGAGGTAACAAAGACTACAATTCCAATAACACCAATAGAAAGACTCCACCAGGCAAGGCAAGCAAGTAAAGGGGAGAGGGGACAACAGTAATAAAATAACTGACAAGGATAAGCTAATACATACCAGTAATAACCATCAATATAAATGGTTTCTATTCCTAATCAAAAGAAACAGATTGGCAGGGTGGATCAAAAAACATAATCCAACAATATGCTGCATGCAAGAAACACATTTCACCCAAGAAATTCATAGACTGAAAGTCAAAGAAAAGGGAACACTTCCTGCAACAGGAACCCAGAAAAAACAGGGATAGCTATTCCATTTGCAGAAAAAGTGAACTTCAAGCTAGACCGATCAAAAGAGACAAACAAGGTCACTGCATACTGTTAAGGGAAAACTCCAAGCAGAAGAGATAATAATCATAAATATATATGCACCAAAACAGAAGTACCCAACTATATAAGACAAATATTAATAGACATGAAAAATCAAAATAGCAATAACACAATTATAACAGAGGAACTTAACACTCCATTGTCACAAAACGATAGATTAACTATCAGATAACAGAACTAAACCAAACTTGTGAACAAATGGACTTGGTAGACCTTTACAGAGTGTTCTACCCAACACCTTCAGAATACACATTCTTCTCAGCTGTGCATGGAGCACTCTTCAAAATAGACCACATACTAGTTCACAGAACATGCTTAAGTAAATGGAAAGGATCTGAAATAATCCCCTGCATATTATCAGATCATACTGCAATGAAAGTGTAAATCAATGGCCACAGAAACCATAAAAAACTATATTAACACATGGAAATTAAGTAACACCCTCCTGAACAGCCAGTGGGTTATAGATTAAATTAAAGAAGAAATTAGGCAGTTTCTACAATTAAATGATAATGCTAATATCACATCCTGGACCTTATGGGACAAAATGAAAGCAGTCCTACAAGGGAAATTTACAGTGCTGAAATCTCACATCAGGAAAACACAGTGAGCTCAAATAAACAACCTAATGTCAAACCTCAAAAAAACGAATAAGTCAAGCCAAAAGTTCATATGAGGGAGTGAATTATAAAGCCAGAGCAGAAATTAATGCAGTTGAGACTAAGAAAACAATAAAAAGAATCAATGAAATGAAGCATGGTTCTTTGAAAGGTTAAATAAAGTTGATAAACCCTTGGCCAACTTTATCTAAGAAAAGGAAAGACTCAAATTCATGCAATTAGGAATGAAAAGGGTAAAATCACAACAGATCCTGCAGAAATCCAGATCATCGATACCTATATTGAGAACCTTTATTCTAATGAGATGGGAAACAGAAAAAAATGAAGAGATTCCTAGACATGTATGAATTACCAAGCTGAATCAAGAAGACATAAAAAGTCTAAATAACACAGTATCAGTCAATGAAATTGAAGATGGAATTAAAAACCCAGCTATTCCCCTTCTTGGTATCTTCCCAAAAGAATTAAAAGCATTGTACCTCAGCAATATATCGATACCTGTTTATTGTGGGTATAGTTTGTAATAATCAAATCTTGGAAACAGCAAATACACATCAACCAATGAATGAATAAAGAAGATGTGGGTTTTTATATACAAATGAGTACTACTGACCATACAGAAGGGTAAACTTGAGACATTTTTAGGTAAATGGATGTATCGTCACAACATACTCAAGTGAAATAAATCTGACACACGTGTAAATATCACACTGTTCCTCTGGTATAGGAAAGTGAAAGTGTAAATAAAGACCAAAATATATAGTACATATTGTGAAGTAAGAAGAAAATGTTCAAATGGGAAGGGGAACTGGGAAGAGAAGGGGAAAGAAGGAAGGGAAAAGAAAAAATGAGAAAAGAAAGAAGAAATAGAAACAAAGCTTTTGTAAATAAGGAGGGAAAGGGGTTGAAAGAAGGATTGGAGAATAGGGAAAAAAAAGGATCAAGATATATCATGCACAGGTACAAATTCCCAATAATGAATGTGACTATTATGTATATCTAAAAGGTACCAGAGTAAACTTAATTAATTTTTTAAAAACAAAAAAAATTTTCAAGAAAATATGCTATTTACACATAATGAGTACTAACCTGCCATAAAGATCTTGAGCTATTAGTAGGAAAATGGATGCACCTTGAGACCATAATGTTAAGTGAAATAAATCAGACACACAAGCTTAGATAATACATGATTTCTTTTATATGAAAAACCCAAATTATAAATAGCAAAATAAAAGATAATAGGAAGTAGGGGGAATAGATCTTTCTCAAAGGGCAAGGGGATCAAGAGATAAAGGGAGGTGTCAGGAGGGGGGTGGGTGAAAGAGAATAAAAGAGTATTAAGATATGGAAATGCACCAAGTCTACACAAGAAATGAAAACCTTATGTACTGCAAACATGTACAAATAAAAAATTTCTTCTAATGCAAGTCTATTCACAAAAGAAAAATAATAGAAGAAATAGGTCTGTCTATGTGCATATCAAGTGCATGTGTTTATGCAGAGGTGTGTAAGGAAATATGTGTGCATATGCAGTATGCACAGATTTAAATGTAACTATGTGTATGTTTGCAGAGGTGTACATGTAGTTATAAATATAGGTGTGCATGTAGATATAAACGTAAGTATGTACATGCACATGTATAAGAGTATACAGACAAATGTATGTAGGTGTATGCTGACATGCAGAGACGTGTGTATGTACAAGTGTGTATACAGATATAAATGTAAATATATGTGTGTGTACATGTAGAGTTCTGCAGATATAAGTAGGTATGTGTACATGAAGAAAGATTTACATGTGCACGCAGATAGATGTATATGTGCATGTGTGTACATGCAGAGGTATGTGCAGATGTAAATATAAGCATATGTGTATATATAGCTCCCAATCCTATCTACAGAGAACACCCAGAAGTAAAAACACTGTGATAGCAATGAGTACACATAGCACTTGAGGTGGTTTTTTGCGGGGGGAGGAGGTGTGATCTGTTTTCCAGTTTTTGCAGTACTGAGGATTGAACCCAGAGCCTTAACGCTGAGCTGCATCACTAGCAGTAGAGTGACAGCTGATTCTCTGACACTGCTGCTGTCATCCCTTGGGCCCTGGTCATCAAGTCACCTTGCAGCAATGAAATGCTGCTGCTGTTACTGAGTAACAGGCAGAATGCAGACTTTGTAATCTCTGCTAATCTCATGTGAACTTCAAAATGAGTGTTCACCTCTTACGCTCAATCAAATAAGCTCTGGGGCTGGGGATTTAGCTCAGCGGCAAAAGCACCTGCCTGGCAAGCGCAAGGTTGTGAGTTCAGTTCCCGGTACCGGAGGGGGAAAAAAAAAAAAGTAAGCTCAGCTTGTCTGCAAAACAGAGATTTCTTTCTTTATAGGTTTAAATATTTATTGAGTGTCAGGCATAAAGTCACAGGAATGATAAAACATGGTCTTTGCTCACAGGAACCTCATCATCTTTGGCAAAACATACATACATCAAAGGATGCACATGCCAAATATTAAGTGAAAATGTATTCCAATAATAAGTTGGCATCTTTAGCCTGAAAAGGCCAAATGATAGATGATGCGTACCATGTTCTCCACACGGAGCTCAAACGGCATCGGGTTGTACACCATCAGCTGGACCTCACACACGTCTCCTTGAACCCACTGGAAATCTACAAAACACAAACGGGAGAACCCATGATAGTGAGCTTCTGTGCACATTTTTCAGGGCTTCAGCTGATTCCTATGGCAATGTATTTGTCCACCAAAGTGGTGGGCACTATATTTGCCTGCGACAAACAATGCACAGCTGGCTTATCTGCCAGCTCTCTGAAACAAAGCAGAGCTTGATGTGACATGATGTGAAGGATGCTCCTTGCTGGCTTCAGCAGGCAACACTCCTGTCAGTATGCCTGATGCAGCTTCACAACACTGCAATCCATCCAGGCGGCACTGCCTTTAGTATAGAACCATAAGATTGCAGTACCTCACTGGCCTGAAGGCCAGAAACATAGGCAGAGGCCATTCGGCTTACTTGAAAGAGCCACAGGGCATGATCTCCCTATGCTCCTAAGACTGTAAGATAAGAAGTGACTTTTCTTCCCCATACTCCCAAGTCACCTGCCATGCAGAAAGAGGCAGAACTCTGAACTGACTTCCATGCCCCAAGGCCCAGTGTGCATACTGGGTGCAATCCCCTCCCTTGAGGACAGATACCATAATTATGCGATGGTTTGTAACAAAAGCAAAGGAATTATGCATATGTCATTAAGGCTGCCTATAAGTTGGCTCTCAGTGGCTACCAAACATGGTCTGCTTCAGGCCCACTGACTTTTCACTGTGTCCCAATATCCAGTGCCACTTGCTCATATCACTGCTCCCAAGCCTCTCTGAACAGCAGCCAGGTGCTTAGGAGCACTCTCTCACTCTTGTCTTAGAACAACCCTCCAAGGCAGCCCCCAATTCAGTGAGAGGCATATCAGTTATCTACGGTCACATTTGTCACCTCCTCAGAGTAGAGCTCAGATCACAGTCATGCTGTCACATACAGACACAAAGACCAGTAAATTACTCCACAGTGCAGCAGGAAATGGTATCAAGGATTCTAATACTCTGAGTCCCCTGCTGTGACAGTAACTCCCCCAGGTAGACACAAAGATTCAGCTACAGAGACTAGCAATTTAAGTTAAATACATGTGACTCTCTAAGCCTGCAAACAGGTACTCACTGATCAGAATATGACCAAAAAGGTATTAATGCCATAGAAAATAAATTATATTTTCCTACTAATATGCATTTTGGCTGAACCTTTTATTATGTCTCAGAAGAAAACCTTACATCAACTCCTGAATTTATCCTCAGCCCAAATGATTCTGCTACTGTGAAAGCCGTATTATAAAGGAAAAAATATCCCTAGGCATTGAGTCATCAAACTTTGGGTAGACACTGGGCTCTGCCACTTGGCAGCTGTCTGACCTAGGGCTGATAATTTGTATTCATTCAATTTCAATTTTGTCACCTATAAATAGGGAAGATAATGACACCTACAATGTCAGCATGGAACAGCTATGGGAACCACTGGATAACGTTTGCCTCAGCCTCTTCCACAAATGTACAGCATTGTTTATATAAAAAGAATCCTCAACAATTGCTTAACATTGAAGAGAGAGAAATAACAAATCAGAGCCAACTTCAGGGACATGTGATCCAGGATGTTAATGGCACTGGCTCTGTGCTGAAAGGTCCCATATTTGCTCAATGCTTTGCTGTCACTGCTCCAAGATATTTTTTAAAAACAATAATAAAGGGCCCCAGGCTTTCAATTTGCACTGAGCCCCATAAGTACATTACCAGGTCTAAGAAGTCTCACCTCGCCCACCCCCTAAATCACCTCTAGAAGTTTTTATCTAAACAAATTTAGGGAAACTTTGCATGAAATTTTTTTAGAGGAGAAAGTGTATGACCGGGGCTGGGGATTTAGCTCAGTGGCAGAGTGCCTGCCTGGCAAGCGCAAGGTCGTGAGTTTGATTCCTGGTACCGGAAGAAAAATAAACAAACAAAAACAAAAAGAAAAAAAAAAAAATAAAGTGTATGACCAACCCCAATGAGGCCCAAACGAACAGTTGAAGACTCTGGAAGAGCCATGCACGAAGAGTTTCATCAACTCCTTATGACTGGTCCAGGTCCATCAAGGGAAGGCAAAGCCAGAAAGCACGTGCCATCGTCACAGGGCCAGTAAGCAGCACCCCAGTGCTCTGCCTTTCGGCAATGAAAGGCGGCATTTCCATGGGAGGCTGAACAGCAGCAATATTCCAGGTCTTTCTGGTTTTTAGAACCTCCACGAAATCACTTTATGAATTAGATTTTAACTAAATCAGATCTATGGGTAACTGCCAAAGGCAGCAAATCAAATACCCTGTATGAGAGTTATGTATGTGTGCACACATGGACGACTAGGCCTAAAATTGTGTCCTGAAAATACCAAAAAGCCACTGAAAACCAGGCAGCAGAGCACAGAGAGGAGCCCCAGAGAAACAGTCTTACCAATTTTCTTGTTCTTCTCCTCTCCGCGGTTGTGTGCGATGATGGGCGAGTAGATGAAGGGGCTCTTGGCTGACACGTTCTGACCCAGCAAACTTTTCATTTTCTGGGGCCGGAGGCTGGTAGGAAGGCTCAGCAGCTTCACATGCCTGTTGTTTCAGACAGAACACAAATGTATCCCTGGCCTTGTTGGCTGGGTCTTGGAATAAACTCCCCAGTACCATGTGTGAGAAGAACAGTAAACCAGGAAACAGGTAACAAACTGAGGAAATGGAAAGCATTCAAACTCAGCAGGACAAGGTTGCAGAACCCGTGTAGCTCAGAGACCTGGACCCAAGGGTAGCCTGGCATGAAAGGACCAGGCTGGAACTGCCTGACCTGCCCACTAGTTTGCAAGCCTTCTGGCAATAGCCTGCCTCCTCCAAGGTTTGGCTACTGTCTGTAAGATGCTGATGGGCCTAATGCCTCCCCCATAGAGGTAGGGTAAGGACCTGGTTAAACGCTCCTGGCACACTTCCCACTGCTCAGCAGAGAGCGGCTCTTCTCTACTTCTCCCTGTCCCAATGGGCCTGCCCATAGGAAGCTGATGTGAGAGTCTGGTCCATGCAAGCAGAAGGTAGCACTTGGAAAAACAAACAGCAACCCTGCTTTGTCCACATGAGTGGCTGCTTCTCCACCAGCACATGTTCAAATCCAAGCAGCTGACACCCACTGAAGACTCACTAATCCATGGAGCCTCAGCATACTTGAGCATTGTTACAGTTTATATCTGGATGTTCCCTCAAACCCTCACATGTTCATAGGTGGGACTTTGGGGAGGTAAATGAATCATGGGTGCATGATACTCATCAGTGGATTAGTCTAGTTATGAGCTTATAGATGAATGTGACTTTGGGAGGTAAGGCCTGGTAGAGGGACACGGGCCACTGGGGGCATGGCCGGGAAGGATCTATCTACCTCCCTTCCTCTCGATCACTCTCTGCTTCCTGCTGCCATGCCATAAGCTGTTTCTCCTCTGCCAAAATGCTCTGACTTAGAGCCAACAGAGTGGATTAAAACTTCTGCAATCTGTGAAGTCAAATAAGCCTCTCCTCCGCAGGTACCAGGTATTATGTCTCAGTGACAAGAAAGTAACTAAGACAAGAACTGTGCTACCCAATTAAGCACCACAACTACATTCTCAGTCTGAGTACTCTACTGTCATCTCCACATTGTCAATGAGGAAACTGACACGAAAAAGACCAAGTATATTCACAGCCTTCGATTCCATGGGTGGAAAAGGATGAAGACATGCCTTTAACCCACAGCATTTTAAGAACTCCCTTTGAGGAGTTTGGCAAGATGGTAGCTAAGGTCTGGAATACTCTGAGGTCTAAAACTGAAAGGAAGCATAAGGGTAGAGGTGGGAGAGACTGGAGGGTTTATGGGAGACTGGATGGGTTTACTAACCATCATGCATCTGCTTGCTCGCCTTACCCACACCACCCAGCCTCTTGGCCTTAAAGCAAGGCAGGCAGATGTGCAGCTCTGGCCAGCAAGCTGGGAGCAGAAGCTACAGGTCCATCTGAGACAAAATGCTTTAAATCTATGCAGCAACCTTCAGCTCTTTCTTGCCACCACATGGCATGTCATGGAGGTCAGATGCTGAGAAGTGGGGCACAAGATGGACACAAAACGGGGCACCTGGACCACTGTGCAACCCCAGGGAGGCCAGCTGCCCTGGAAAACCGTCCAGCTTACATCAAACTTGCATGACTTTGTGTTGAATCACTAAGATTTCAGGATTAAGTTTTCTGTCTCAGTGCTGCCTCCCCTATACTAACAATAAACTCGAAGAATCCAAGCAAAATTGCCACCTCTACTACAGTCCCATCCTCAACTATGCAAAGTGTCCTACAGCACTCAACAGACAGGCCCATGTCCCAGCCCTGGTAGAGTTTTGGTCACATATATAATCTTGTACACTACCCACACAGCAGGGGATGCTTAAAAACTGACGTTCTTTTCACCAAGGATTATACCCAACACACTTTCTCTGAGTCCCTTCAAACCTCAACAGGCCACTGTGAGAACTAACATAATGCATGTCAAGTGCCTATGATGGTACCTGATAAACGGTAGGTCAACAAAGCCTTCCCTTCTCTTCCACTCCTTAAAACAAGACTGTAGTTATTAAAGCCGTCCCTGCTGCAAAGATTACAACACCAGATGGAGTGAAAACGCTAAGTTTTGGTGCCTGCTGCAAACATGGAGCCAGACCCTGGACCCAGCAGTGTCTGATCCTGGGCATGTACTTGTGTGTAAAAGGATTCAGTTCTCCTGGAGCACGAAGTTCATATGGAGTCACCCGTGCCATACCATGGTTCTACCCAAAAGCAAGATGCCACCCGGAGTTCTAAGGAGTTCTCAGGAGTTCTCTCTGCTGGGAGAGAAAAGCCAGGTCACATGCAAGGTTTATTAAGTATGGGAAAGAATTCTGAGGGCATGGTCAGCTAGAAAAGCGACCCAATAAATGGCTGTGGCATTCACTCACAGCTCGACATTTTGCATCAAATGTCATTTTATAATATGTGCCCCCTAGAGAAACAATTGTTCAAAGCACCTGACCTAAAGGAAACATAATTCACTTAGGATAAATTGCTGCAGAATTAATAAAATTGTATTTGGTCTATGAAACTGTGATAAGCACAGCAGAATTCCAGGGATAAGGCATCCAAGACAGGATTATTTTTAAAGATTCCGCTTGGAAACTCATCATGTTTTGAAAATACGACTTTCCTCGGTGTATTATGGCTAATTGAGATCAGGCTAAGCAACAGTGGAATGCTAATTAGGAAAGTAATAGAAAACAAACAGAAGAATGACAGAAAAAAATTCACCTTTTCCTCTGTAGTTTTTAACACATCTACTGTATTTACAAGGAAACATCTAGAATCAGCAGTGATTAAAAGTGGCCTCGTCTGCACCATATTGGAACTCTGTGGAGGTCACACTGCTCTGAGCCCTGGTGTGGCTGAATTCATGGGACAGAAAAAAAACACACCAGCCAGGAAAGATCAGCCCATTCCACTGCTGAATGCCACCACACATGTCTTACTGTCTTCAGCAGCTCTAGTGGAAGACATTCTTAAGCAAGGCTATGGCAACTATGCCAACTATGAGAGAAAGTTCTCAACTATGGAAGGAAGGAGGTAGAGCCATGGAGGCTGCATCCTAATTGCTGTCTGAAAAACTGCCCAGAATGCTGCACCTCTATGCCTCTTTTTTAATAAATGGCTACAATACTTCTTCAGACAGTAAATTTAACCTAAAAGTCTAAGTTTTAAATGCTCCCAAGCTACTCAAAGCAACTCAAAGCTCACTTTGGCTGGAGAATTTGATGTTTATCAATTGAAATGTCCTCAAATCCAGAGCTCTTTTCCAGGATGAAGAAGCTAGTTCATCAAAAACCAACCAATGACTTCCTGCCCCTCCTCATTGCCACCCCCAAATTAGAGACTCATTGGTTAACTGGAAATGGCACCTATTCCAATTTCTTCTTTAATAATCCACAACATGATTATTTGGGGCCTGAAATTCTACTATAGGCTACTGTGTATACACACTTGATTCTCTCTGCAAAAAATTCTGTAAGGAACAAAGGCTGAGTGGAGTTTTAATTGGCTGCCCTCTACTGCAACTTCAGGCCGAAGCGCGCAGGATGGGCCTGGCAGCCACCTGGTGGATGAGATCATTCCTGACCATTTGAGCCCCAAACGGTCAGCTGGGGCCAGGTCCATCTTGGGCTCTCAATATACATTTGATTAATTGAATTTCAGAATAAAATTAAACGGATGTATTCTGGCTCCTTTTCCCATTAACCAGCATCATAATAACTTGGAACCACTTTGGGGTGAACCTAGTCCATGCTCCCAGGCTTCAGAGAACAGGTGAGCCTTTTTCTATAAGTTGCTAAAATGGTTTTATTGCTAAAAACTAAGAAAGACATCAATGGAAAAGAAAATGGATCCAACTGTCACTTTTAAAACAAAGAAATCATAGTTTTGAGACATAACCTTGCATCCTAACGACTCTACACAGCAGGTCTGAACATTGATTCACTAATGCAGACATTTCCTAACCAACTCATTCTGTGACACAAGGAGCTCTGGTCCTCAAATGTGCATGCCACTGAGCTCTTCCTGTGTCTTTGGGGTGACTTGGAAAGTCTCCCTTGAGATATTTTTGTTTTTTGTTTTTTGTGGGGTTTTTTTAAAGATTCAACTAATAGAGACCACATACTGGACTCAGAGACATTTGGTTCAAGTATTTAAATAGTCCCTGGCTTGTTTCTAAGGAAACGTTGGCTCAGACCACAGCTCCTGTGCCAGCCTCCCTGCAGGTGAGACAAGGAGCATTGATTTGGGAAGAGGCAGACAGCCCCCCTGGGGTGTCCATCCTTGACCAGTCCCTGTGAACTCACCGAAGCCTGCAGTGTGCCGGGCACTGATGGAGCACCAACAACATGGGTCTGCCACTCTCGGTCAGCATCACTGAACACCTGCCCTCTCTTCGTGACATCTGAGAATATATAACCCTGAGTTCTCTGCTGTACATCTGCCAAAAGGTCACTTGTGGGAAGTCACACCAGAAAACAGTCAGTGCATGAGCAGCCCCCTGCCATTCTACACATTCTCACAGTGTGGCTGCGTAAGCCAGATGACAGAGGTCCATACTGCTTCATCCTCCAGGGGCGCTGCACTGGCTCCAGGTGCTGGGTTAGCACTGATGAGTGTTGGCACTGATAGGAACCTGCTGAGACTTTGGGGGGTGGGCTAAAGCTGCAAAAGATGTCACTAAACATACCTTGACATCCTCCTCAGGACAGGCTACAAGGAGTTCCCCACAAACCTCTTACCATGAAGAGGTAAGTTTCCAAAGTGGCAATACTCTACACCTGTTTATAAGGAAAACAGGGCCTTGTGGCCAGGCATATATCCTACCTTTTTTTTTTTCTTTTGGTACCAGGAATCGAACTCAAGACCTTACACTTGGCAGGCAGGCACTTGTGCTGCTGAGCTATATCCCTGGCCCCATATATCCTTCTTGTTAGCGATATCAGAATGTTCTTCCTATCTCCAGCCATCACATAGGATCTTACAACTTTTGG